GGGAGCCCGATGTGGGACTCGATCCCAGGACCCTGGGATCATGACCTGAGCCGAAGGCAGATGCTTAACCATCTGAGCCACCCAGGCGCCCGTGATATTTATTTTGACCTTTGCCTATGGTTATGTGTTTCTAGATACAAGGCAATTGTGAAGCCACTGGAACGGCAGCCCTCCAACGCCATCCTGAAGACCTGTGCCAAAGCTGGCTGTGTCTGGATCGTGTCTATGATAATTGCTCTGCCAGAGGCTATATTTTCAAATGTATATACTCTTCAAGATCCCAACAAAAATATGACACTTGAAGCGTGTACCTCTTATCCTGTTTCTGAGAAGCTCATGCAAGAGATACATTCTCTGCTGTGCTTCTTGGTGTTCTATATTATCCCACTCTCGATTATCTCTGTCTATTATTCTCTGATTGCTAGGACTCTTTACAAAAGCACCTTGAACATCCCTACTGAGGAACAAAGCCATGCCCGCAAGCAGGTATGTATTAATCAGGACCCGTGCATGCATTTAGAAATGAAATTCCTACTTGTGCACCTGTGAGCAATAAATGCAATAGCAGGTACAGTATTTTTGTTCAGGTCATGGGCTCTGGAGTGTGTCAGACCCAGGATTTCATTCTGGCTCTACCACATATTAGCTGAGCAATCTTGGGCAAGTTACTTAACCTCTCTGAGCCTGTTTCCCTATCTGTAAAATGAAGATGGGGACTGGGGGATAGATATGAAAGGCTCGACATGGTTCCTGGTGCACAGTAAGCAGTCAATGCATGCTAGGGCTGCTATTGCTAGAAAGGGGACAGCTGAAGTTTGGGAGCAGCGAAAATGATTTACCCTGTGGAATAGTGAGGAACAGCACTCAAGGTGAGTGCTGAAGGGAAGCATCTTTTGTTTTAGAAAGTGTAACAGGATGATAGACACGGGATGATAGAACTGGCAGGACGCCCTAACGTTATTCAGTGCAAACCACTTATACACACATGAGCAAACCGAGGGCTCAAGGGATAAGGTAAGTGCCAGTGGCAGGAGAACACAGTGACTCACAGAAGATTGATTAAGACCATTGCAAGAGCCAGGTGTGCCCTCCTTCCATAAATATGAAGAGAAAAAAAGAATCTTGCCAAAACGTTGTTCCATTTGATAAAAACAAACAAACAAACAAACAAAACAGGAGTTCTATCTTTCTTGGGGGCGGGGGGAGATGCTTCCATTGACCTCTTGACCAGTCCCTTCAGTGAGTTCAGCAGGGGTGCTCATGAGGCTGAAGTGGCATACTAAATGCCCATGTGAACTGTTCTCTTTGCTCTGTGACCATAGGCAATGTCTTCACTTAACCTGGTTCATTTCTCTCACGAAGAGGTGCGGGCAGGATTATTTGCATAGGTGTAGGCAGGATGACACATTGGTTTTTATTCCTTCGACTGTAGGGTCAGAATTCCCATAGATTAGAAACCACCTTGGGTACCGACTTGGCAACTTCCAGAAAGCCCCGGAAGAACATTCTAACCTAGTCAGCCTCTGCTGATACAGTGAAAGCAGTTTGGTATAGCATCTCTCTATTTCTTTCTTTTTTAAGATTTTATTGATTTATTTGAGAGAGAGAGAATGAGAGAGAGAGAACACCTGAGAGGGGATAGGGTCAGAGGA